GGAAACATGCCAAACAGTAAATGCACAAGGATACTAGACAGGTCTTAGGACTTTGCAATGTTGGAGTATCCACTATATTGAAGTGGCGCAATGAAAGTTTTGACCTGATAACAGTTTAAGAATCATATGAATATGTTTATAATTAAAGTTGTTTGTCTGTCATATGGATATAAAAAAAATTTAATCCCCCCCCCCTCCAATCTAAACGTCCAAGAGAACGTATAAAATCAATCTAGCATCCGTCCAAACATGAGCAATATTATAGATAACACACTAGGCAAATTTTACAAACCGATGATTGTCTACAAAGTTGGACAAAAGATCTCGTTATTGTTTTTTTTTTTCAATATAATGTCCCTTTTTTGTATAAACAAACGAATCCCACTCTTTCTTAGTAAACATAAACATATGAATGGACACCTTGTCAATTATGACGTTTATGTGTCAACAAATTCCTGAGCTAGTTATTAGTTTTTCAGTGGGTATATAGGCTCCCTTAGAAATCTTTCTTGGTCCTACCTTGAGTACATTATATTGTCAGTATATAACATACCTATTCATTTATCAGCCGCTACCGCATGTAGTTTACATATATACACTGTAGGTTCATTTATGTCTACACTGCACACACTAAAAATAAGATAAAGTTCTAGGAAAAGTAAACTGTCCAGAAGGGGACGACGCTGTGGTCTGATGGGATTCTTATTATTAATCAGGTAGGTAACAAGATATTAATATTTTATATATATTATAAGGATTATATGTCTACTAAATTTATGAATGATTGATCAAAAAAGTAAAAAAAAAAAAAAAAAGGAAAAAAAAAAACGCCTGCTTTAAATAATGTCAGTGACTGTACCTTAACCACACAAAATGTCCGAGATACTCGATACTGACCTTAGACTTAACATTGGTTTCTTTAAAAACAGAAAAAAATCTTCAGCTCAAGTTTTATTGCCTAAAAAGTATTATTTCATAAATTTCTTTAACAAACACAAAGAACTAAAGTTTTTTTGTCTGCCTTTAAATTGTATATTTTAAAAATATGATGATCGTAGGGATAACGGAGCAATCACGAAATCATATATTGCAAAAATCTGTGTTTCCACTATGCTCCAACTCCTGAATAATTGACAAACTAATTCTATCGTTTATGCCATGATTTCATCTTATTTTGAGTTTATTTTCTGCAAAGTTTATTGAATTCGATATAAATACGCATATTATTAAAATCCATCATGCCAAAGAAAACTGATTATGATGACAAAATTTATTCCGTTGGAAGGCCTAGCAAAAAAAAAAAGTGGAAATACTTTCCTTATTTCTCGATAAATACAGCTTCCATTATTACATATTTCCTAGGGATGCTTCCAAGAGTACAAACAGTCTGATTTGCTGAGCAACTAATCAGAATACTTCGGACACCAACGGCAAAAAAAAAAAAAAAAAAATTATCGAGTACTGACCCCTTCCTCCAACAATTTGCTCGATTCTGTTGTAAACAATTGTTAAAATGTGGTTTAAATCCATTCCAAAGAAAAGAAATATTGCATTTCAAAGTGCTTTATGTGGGGCCCTCGTTTAAGAAAAAGAGTGCTATTTTTTTTATTTCACGGCTTTTTAAACGTGCGGCGTTTTTGTAGTCCTCGACATGTACATATAGGTATAGCTAATTTAAGATTGATAACTGTAAAATTGCTGTCATGAAAATCTTTACGAGTTTCTATTTTATTTATTCAATTAGAACATTCAGCAAGTTTCGAAAAATGGTTGTGCATCTGACCGAAGAATTAAGGGGGGGGGGCGAGTGTCGTCACTCATTTTAATATGAGCACAGAAATGGAACCCTGTCTGGAAAATCCAGCAAAATAAAGTTCTCGCGAATAAAAAGTTTACAGTTAAAGCAAGTCGAGGAATATGGTAGACAGAGGTAAATTTTCAACCAATTTTATATATATACAAACAATGCTCTCATCAATTTCTTTACCATAGAGCAACTTTCGCAATATATGTGTATAAGAAAACTTTCTGATAATAATTTCATGAAACGTGTGTCCATTTCTGGGTGTTTTTTTTTCTGAAACAAATACCAGTCAGTGAAGTATTTACAAAACGAGAAAATATTTTCAGATGCAAGATCCCTTGCTGATGGCACGTATGCAATATAGAAAAAAAACGTGCAGGCTTGATTCAGAAATACATCACATATGACAATGGTTTGTATAAAAGTGTTCCCTGTAGGATATCAACCAATCAGCGACAGGGATCGACAACAAAAACTGACCAATCAAAGGTACCAGACTCAAGTTTACAGCTTGAGTTTATAGCTAAGACGCCTTCTATGTTTCGTTTGTTCATTAAGGTAAATCAATCTTCAGTTTTTCAAAGATGAAATGTGAAGATAGCGAATAGTAATCAGGCTCAAAGTCCAATCAACCAATACAAATTGTGAGGAGAGCATACACGGACCATTGAAAACAGAAGTGGGATCAAGTGTCATGAAGGAGTGAGCATCCCCTACTGACCGGTCACACCCACCGTGTCGTGTACTCTTTGTCATGATCAGATCCGTAGGCAGTTCAGTGTGAATTCGTATGAAAAATGACAGTCAACATTAGACTTAACGATAGATTGTAGTTGCAAACAAGGTCGTATAGACCATAAAATTTGCGAAATGTTGACTATCTTTTCTTCCATCATCTTACAATGCATTTACAAATCACATCAATTTTCTGATGTGATATTATTAACTTGTCATTTTGTTTTAACAAACCTCTGTATACATTCAAATTAACGTATTTTGCAAGTTATCTATGTTTTCTGCTAGTGGACATGTTCGTCGATGAAATATGGAGAATCATTATCAAAAGTCCATTGAAACAATACAAATCGTGAGAGCAAACACGGACCTCTAAAAGCATCAGATGTGGGATCAGGTGCCATGAAGGGGTACACATCCCCTGTAGACCGGTCACACCCGCTGGTTGCTCCTTGTTATGATTTGGAAAAATCCGTAGACAGTTCATTGTGTACATAATGGCCTAACAATAAGTATGAAAAACGTCAGCCAGTATTCGACTTAATGAGACCTTGTGTTTGCTGACAAGGTCATTGTATCGACCATAGAACTTGCGAATTGTTGACCTCAAAGACTATTGATATCCTTATTTCTTCAACTTGTTTGTCAATAGCTTGCCTCATTTTAGAAATTGTTCGTATGTAGAGCATGCCCTCGCGTATGGAATCAACTGGGAGAGATGAATTCAATATGTAGGTGATAAGGGTATATTTCTACATAAATAAGGAAAGATTACAATAGAAAAGTTGAAGTCATCAAGTTTAACATAAAGTTTTGTTTTTAGGTTACCATTAACGTCTTTTTTCTAATAAAATATATTTATACAAAACATATGCGTCAGACTCCGTGGTATCTTTTATTGTCTGTTATTGATCCCACTTCTGGAATTTCCACGGGTCTTTGTTTTATGCCCTCTTCACAGAAATGTATTTTTTGTAGATTTGTTGAGATCGATCACTGTTCGTTATCTTCACCTTTTTCATTATTTCAAGTTCAATTGGATATATCGAGTCGACATACGAATGGAAGTTACATGTACTATTGTTAATAGATAATACGTCGTCGACGAATCTAAATGATGAGTTGAAGGCCACAGCAAGAGATATCATTTTCTTATGTATAAGTTTCTGAATAAATTCTGCTTCAAATGAATATCAAAATAGGTCTAATAATAAAGGGACGCATTCGGTACCCATGGAGATTTCGACAGATTGTTGGAAGACCTGATCTCCAAAAATACATAGATATTGCCAATCAGAAACTCAAGCAACATTTTAATATCAACTTCAGAGTACTTGTGTAGTACACTCAAAATGTTTTAACAAAATCATTTCGCAAATGGCCAATGACAAGATAAGTAAATTTACCAGTCTATTTTTATTGCTTTATTGCAAAGGCAACTGTCTATGGTGTCAAAATTAATGCTTGGACTTTAATTTTCGTGGGGAATTATTGTTTAAAGTGCTGAAAAGTCGTATGTTTTGATGTTATTGATTTCGCTTAAATTTTGTGATTTCAAATTTACTAATAGTTCCTTGGAATTTTTTTAGAATTCAGATTTCATTTGCACCACTTCGCGAATGTATTGTTTTACAGTACTCTTGAAGTTTCTTCTTCCTTGCTCTAAATATTTTAGTGAGGAGTAAAGAAAGAGGCTTGTTAGAACATTTACTGGAAGCCGCCAAACCCTAACCCCCTGAAATACAACTAAAATAATAAGCTTTACAAACAAAGATAATGTTTTTATCTCCTTTTTAGGGTTAGGAAATTTAAGGCCTACCCTACTTATTTCTTTTTAAAACGGATATTGCCTTTTGAGACGTAAACGGGTTTCGGGTGTTGCAAGTGACATATCTTTTTTTCAGAATAAGTGAATCATTTGAATTATTTTTATGAATGTTTCCATTTCGACGTACCTATATGCATACTTCCAAATATGCTTCTGATGCTTCACTAAACTTACAAATGCATATTTGTACATGATTGATCAATTAAATTTAACAGCGGGTCAATTTCAAAGATAATACTAAGCTAGTTTTACATTGAAAACATTGCATTAGTCATGTTAAAAGGAAAGTTTGAAAGGGGGGGGGGGCTTTAAAGTATCCTGTAAAACACAATCATGGCGAATGTTAAGAAAATGTAAAACAAAAATGCTTGGTGTGCAAACCTCTGAATGGACATCACATTTTTCTATTCAAGGATTTCTCTAAGTGATTTATAGATCAAGTGCATTAATGCAAGCTATGAAAAAGTTTATGGGAAGCCTAATTATTGCCGTTAGGTTAACATCCGGGACTTAAAACTCTTTGTGTTCTCTTTTGTCAACATAAATTCCAGGTTGCCTTGCAAGTTTCGATCACATGGAAAGCGTGCATACTGAGTGCATTACGCATGTTCATGTAATACACCCTTCTTTACAATGGAGTTTGATGATGTTTTGAAGAAAGTAGGAGAGTTTGGCCCATATCAGAAGCGAGTTTTAGCTATTCTAAGCATAACATGGATTATTATCGGCCCCATTATGATATATTCTGTATTCGGGATCGCAACGCCAGACCACAGGTTAGAGTTACTTTTGATTTGGGATATTTTTTTTTTTTTTTATAATTTTTCGAAACAGCTTAATATTAACAGTTCATGGTCTACTATTCAGATTTTTAAAGGTTGTCAACTGCGTGTTCAAAGCTCAATATTGTTGATAAAATGATTTGATGAAGAGTTCTATACTTTTTATTTTAATAAACATTTAAACATACTATTAGATCGAAAATATTAAATGAAGGACATTGGTGTTTTTGTAACATTGACTTCAATATACATTTTAAATAGTTTTACATGTTACTTTTTTATCGGCCTATAACCAAATGTATTGTCACCAAGCGCTTGATGTCAAAGTGACAACAAAAATTGCATTAGTGGATCTTTCACTACTGTATATTAAATGGTCAGATATTTTTAAATCGAACTGCAATAATGTTGTATTGTAAGTATAAATTATAAGTGGTTTAAACAGTTACATTAATAAGTAGCTTAAATTTTCACCAAAATCATAAGTGAAGAACCCCCATGATATGTGTCAATGTTTCAATAACATTTTAATATGGTCTTCACAACCTATAGTTTTCACTGCATTTATCTATAACATGAATGAGATTGAGAGGTCACAAGGTCCTCTCGTAATTATTATAACCTTCACTTTTATAGATTTTGATCTTTAATCTTTGAGCATAAACTGATCAATTGTGATAGTAAACGGTTAAAGATAAGAGCAAAATGTCGAATGTGTTAAATCGTCCAGAATCTTGGCACAAAAGCAGACCCGAAAGGACGAGCACAGATTCTTTTATCCAATGGACCTTCAATTGGAAAAGATAAGGAGAAATGAGGAGAAATACCTAGATGTTATCCAAATGAGCTGAAAATAAAGATAAATTGTATGCTGTTAAAAAAATTAAAATTTGTTGAGCAGTTTTGTTATTGATTGATTGTTGTTGTTCATTTATTTTTAGGTGTGGAATTCCTGATTATACTAATGACACCTATAACATTCAAAATAGTCACCACCAAGAATTGATCAAAAAATATATTCCTATTGGTTCAGACGGTTTGTACATGTACGATGAATGTCACGTGTACCGATTCAACCAATCCACTCCCTCAGTTTTTAATGACAGTGGAGTTTTGGAAGAATGTTCTTCCTGGGTTTTCGACAAAACTCTCTTTGATGAAACTATTGTCACAAAGGTATATTATCTTACCTTATTTGAATTCAAACATTATATCAAATGAAAAAATATTCTTTCTCTTAAATGATGTTGAAGTTGTATAATGCATAAAATGTTTATTTGTCCTGTCAAATTTCAGATGAATCTAGTCTGCAAGGAAAAGTACAAGGTCTCACTGAGCAAAACGATTTTTTTCGGAGGAGTTTTGATAGGGTCATTTTTGTTTGGAATGCTATCGGATGTGTAAGTCAAAGCCAACGAAATGTCTGTTATTTTAATCAACAAGTAAAAGTTTTCTTTTTTATAAGCAACAAATACAAACGATGGAAGACTTAAATTTATGGTAAATGAATGGATGACAGACTTTCGTATGGATGAATTGACGAAGTGTCATTAAGGATATCTATCAAACATTAGTAAAATCCTAATCTACATCAACAAAAACGTGCATGATATATTTGCATACCAGTAAGATAGGAATCTCGTAAAGACTTTCAATGCTTAATCGTGGCAGAGGACAGTTTTATAGTGGCTCTAAATTCACATTCATTATTTTTATCAGGCTTGGACGGCGATATACTCTTTTAATTGGGCTTTTATTAGTATTTGCTTCAAAGATGGCGATGGCATGGGCAGGCGTCTATTCAACATTCGCCATTTTGTATATGTGCGCCGGAGCTGGCGTCGTCGGAATATTTATGACGTCATTTGTTCTTGGTAAGAAACATAGGATAATATTACGATTTCAATTGTACATTATTAAGCAAAGGGTTCCATTCATAGTTTACTGATATGTTTCATAATACCTGTCCCCGTTACATGTAGAATTGCCTTTAAAATCATTAAGAGAATATTTTCGAAAAAAATAACAAAATACGAATTAGGATGATATAGGCTGCAGCTTTAATAATTGTTTTAAAGACAAATGTCAGACAAACATTTCACAATTATTATTGACCACACACCTAAATTGGTGACGAGCATTATGACACTGCGCCTTCTAGGGTTATCCATAGCAAGGCGTTACAATATGTACTATTCGACTCCTAGGGTACCGCTTAGGACTAAGCTGGGATATCAGTGTAGTTGCCTTATATGGGATTCCTTAGCGAGGCTACTACCTGTACCAAACAAGTAAGCCGAATATACCGAGTAAGGCAAAATAAACCCACCGGTTTTAAAAAACTTCAATGACGTCACCCATTTTTATTAGTCTACGTATATTTTACCGATTCAACCATCACTAGTTGGATATTTAAAGATCCAACTGGCCATCAGTTAGATATTCAAATATCCAACTGCCTATTGCTTGGATATTTAAATATCCAACTGTGCATACAAACATAATTAAGCAATGAACAAAAGAGATAAAAGAGTTTAGAATGTATTTCCAATGCACATAAAAAATAATTACTCCGAATTTGTCACACTATTATAATTGATATCATATGCACACGGAATTAATCACTTCGCATTTTTCACACCATTAGAATTGTGTTAAAAATGTACTTTCAATGCTCACAAAAATTAAAATTCCTCCGAATTTTGCACGCTTGTAGACTCTTGTCGTCAAAAAAATATCCAATACTTATACGATGGTAATTTTAACAGAATGTTTCCGGTCTTAAATTTTGAAAGCATCACTTTTTGACACGCTTATAAATACATTTTCACATTGAACCTTAAACCACATCACTTCCTGTTGCTGAACATTATTTCAGGAGTCCGTTATCAGCAAATCCCCTCAGTTTTTTTCTAGGTTCATCTCTGTTCTAATACTTTTCCAGCATACTTCCCAAAACAATTTAATAAATTTACAGCCCATCTATTTTTTGTCACCTTTTATATTGCAGATATGGAATATTTTTAAAGCAGGTTCTGCATAACATCGACAATCTTTTCATCTGAATTAGCATTACATGTACTAGAAGTATTGTCCGAATGGAACTCCATAAGATTCCAACACTTTTCCTAAACAAATCATCATCTTAAATGTAATGATAGATTTCCAACCTTTTGTCAAACAAAATTCTGTAGTTTTCTTCTGCTTTCATGTCAAAAGTATTCAAAACACTATCTGAACCTCTCTTAATTTACTTTGGATTTAAAACTATTCTTCATCTGATTTCATGACTGTTCAGTACAATAGAAAGGTTTGAAATGACATTAGCACCATACAGTTTCATGCTCATGAATAAAAAGGGGTGTTCGATTAGGCTATTGAATTGTGTCACTGTTGGATATCTGAATGGGCTAGATCCCATTGTATTACAGCAAAGTTGGATATATGAATGGCTTAATGTTTCTTTGGGGTCCAAAGTGGGGAAGTTTTTTAAGTAAGATAAATAACTCGATAGCGTTGAATAGTTTAGAGAAAACATCCCCTCCTCGGGCCTTCGGCCCTCGGAGGGAATGTTTTCTATAAACTATTCATCACCATCTCGTTATTTATCCATTACATACCGAACGGGGTATGAGCTTACTAATATTTTCACAGATTCCTCGATCCTAGTGCATAGCAAGCTTATAATGATTCCAAGGGTAACCCTTAACGAGCCACCACATGATCTACCAGGCATATAAAATACATAGTCAAACATAAAATAATCATACTATGATAACTAATGTGTCTGCTTGTCTGAATCATTCGCCATTCAGAGATGATTGTACATCTTTGCCACCCACCGAATACACTTTATGAGAGATAAAGCTTCTATCGCAGATTGTAAAGTGTTTGTTATAATTGCTTTTCCTACATCCGACATATGATCTCCGTCAACGCGGTATAGCCTCTCCTCCGAAAATTCTATACTAAGATGATTAACATCTCTACTTTTAACAGATGCAACCACCCAGCTCTCATAATCCTTTTCTGTTCCCGTTCTACGGAGCACGACCCCTTATCCAATTTCAGCATTAGAATATATATAGAGGATATAAAATGTTTTGTAGATGATAATTGAATTTATTTCACGAGTGGGGCAGCATTTTTTTTTATTTTCACAAGTGCGAAGCACGAATGGAAATAACAAAAATCCTGTCTCACGAGTGAAATAAATACTATATTCATCTACAAAACATTGAATTTTCTGTTTATTACATTTTCTTAGATTTTCCCTTTGCCTCTGTCTTTTCGTAACACAGTATCATAGGCTGTGACGTCAAAGTTGAGCGGTTGAAACGTCATATCTAAGCGATTGCGAGAATGAAAAACGTTGTAAACATGGATTTTTAACGACATAGGCCTATTTGGAAAAAAACTTTGGCAGTATAAAGATTAGTCTCTGTCAGGACGGCTAATTAACTCTATCTTATAACAGGCCAGAGGATTTTTTTTAAATACTCATCGTGAAGGGGAGGAAAATCATCGAAAGTTTTCCCGCACTCCTGTTGTTTTCACACGGTGAGAATAGCATTTTGATATTCTTTCACACTGTGTCAAAATATCGCTTTTTCAGTAAATAAGTTATAGTATTTCACTGTTGAAAATGTAATAATAGATCATATTACTATAGTATTTTACAAGTTGTTAATCTATTTGCCAGTACACATGTTGCGTTCTATTCTTGTACACAATTCCTCTCTTTGAATTGGCGTGATATCATTTCCCTCTAAATGGATTATCAAGTATGAGGAAGGAGGAAATTTCGCTATTTTTTTTTCAACAGAATCGGTAACCCCCCGCCTTCTCATTCACCGTTTGCCAATCCAAGTTACCTGAATGCCTAAATTATCCAAACGTAAGTTAGCAGTCATATTTGCAGTTGGTTGTATTGCAACGTTAAAACTGACACCAGACTGGGTCGGCACATGCGCTACAGCAAAGCTAGACACCGGCTTGGATTGGACAACAATCAAGCGCAACCATAAATCTAAATTTCATTTTGACCAATTTCAGTAAGAAACTGTTTGATCTACTCTGAATTGCTCATCGTAAATCATCCAACCCATATCAGGAAAATTCCTCGCTGTATAGCAAACAATAAACATATACTGCACGAGTTTCGATGCCCTCCCTGAATGTTTTTTTTTAATGTAGTCATGCAAAAATACAAAAAAACCCATCTATCTCTATCGATGGTTGTTATTTTTTTTTCATTTAGCATTTTAAGCTACGCCCCTAGCTCACTCTTTTCATTAGAGACAAAACTGCTCCCGGCAGCAAACTGCTGCTGTTCTGCACTGCCCTTTGTAAGCAGGGCTTAGTTCATATAACTACTAACTCATATTTAAATGAAGCCGAGCATGGGCACCTCTATCGTCCCCAGCACAAGCCTCCATGTTTGGCATGGTCCCGAAATTATCTGCTGCTGTCACGACAGTTTCCCTAGAGCAGGCCAAGTACTAGTGATCGCCCTAGGGGCTGAATTAGCTTTCTTCAAGAACGTGGATATTCCGCCCGAGATCCAGGAATCCATTGTGGTCTCCAATGGGGCTTGGTGAACAGCTGCTAGGCGCCTCCTTCAACCTCTATCTGTTTGCCGCTTGGAACCTCTAGTTCTTTGATTTGTTCTTGCCCTAGTGTAACTGGCAATAGCATTGGTCTTCATGGATCTTGCGTGCGGCAAAGTAAAGCTTTTAAGTATAACCGTTCAAGGAAACTTATTTAAACAATTATTTCAAGTGCAGAACGCCAAAGAGGTTTTGAGAAAGAGGAGGAAATCGGCATGTGCGCCCCTCTTTTATGCTCGCAGTAATCGAGGGAAGGTGTCAAAGTGACGTACACCCTTTTGTTTTCGGAAATCAATTATATACTTTTAATTTGCAATTGCATGAACGATCGTAATTTTAATAAATTTTTTTTTAAATAAACCATCATTCTAAATTTATCGAAAAACAAGAAACAATTTTACCTGTTTAAAAAGTCAGAATTTTTTTTAAAATGTTATATGTCATATTTGAACTTCAAACATCGTGGATTTAGCAAGCAGAATGTAAAACAAACTTTGTTTTAAAAATGATTTAATTACAGAATGTTTTTAAGTTTTGTGTGAGCTATTTGTGCGTAAATCACACAGACTTTTCACGTAGGCATATTTCATGAAGCGCGCTAGCGCTTCATGAAAAATATGCTTACGTGCAAGTCTGTGTGATTTAAACACCAACAATGCACTAAGCTTAAAAACTTTCCTTATATTTACATTTTTCATGTTTAAATGCGTCAAAAATATACTCAATGTTTGAATTTCTCGCTGCCCTATATCGTCATATTTTTATTAACGTCTCTATAGCTTCATTATGACGCCACTTTAGCGCGAGGTTCTCCGTGTATATTTCTACGGGTTAGTATACACAAAAATGGCTTTCAAATCAATTTCACAGTTGCCTATGAGAAAATGTAAATATTGAAAAGTATTGAGAAGGAAAAATATGAAATCGTATACCAGGCAAAAAAATATTGAGTTCAAATTTTCTGAATTTATTAAAACCTTCTAAATGAATTATCTGATGCATTTCTATACCATTTTGTAATGAGGGACAGATATTATGAAACAACCTGTACTTCCATAAATATATATTGAAGCTGTGATCGGAATATCAAAAAATGATTCATTTTTGCCATTTCATAGGCATTTAATTCTTTAAAAAAACTGTTCGCATTTTTTTTTATTGTTATGGGATAAGAAATGAAATGACATACTTTACAGGTATGGAATGGGTTGGTTATTCCAAGAGAATTTTCGCTGGTTGTGTTGTCCCTTTGGTTGAACCGCTGGGAGAGTTGTATTTTATCCTAATATCATATCTCACACGTTCCTGGCATTGGATGGCTATTTTCAGCGCTATTCCTATTGGTTTATACATAACATTTTGGTGGTAGGAATTTTATCGTTAAGTATTATTCAAATCTAATGATCTATTTTTTTTATCTTGACCCACAAGAGTTCATAGGTTTTATTTTGTATGTTTCGAAGCAAATCTTAAGTCAAATGCAAATTTTATCTGATACAAGAATTGTTTGTCAGCTTTTATATATTTTTGACAAATGTACCCTTCAATACAGATGAACTTTTCTATTAAAAAAATCCAACATGGTACGTTTCTTTATCCTGGATAAAGAAAAGGTATCTTCACAGTTCATGATTCTTTTGATTCTAATCATATATTATAGGATCAGAGGGACATTAATATCTATTAATTTTGTAAAAAAAAAATTCTTATTTGAAATAGTAGGTTTTTCAATAGCCGGAATTAGTAAGAGAAATCTCATAATCATGCTGTATGAAAATTCTTCAGTCAAACAGGTATTCTACTGACCACACAGAATTGTAGAAATAGCACTGGAAGTCCTCTCCCTTTATTACAATATACATATAACCATACACAAACGTACATTTAAACAAAGGTTCATTCCGGAGTCTCCACGATGGTTGTGTGGAAAGGGCAGGAAACAAGACGCTGCAATTCTGTTGAAGAGAGCAGCAGAGTGGAACCATACCGAATTTTCTCCAGAGATATTAGACAATATTGCCCCAAAGGAGAAGGAGGCAGGCAAAGTGTGGTTGCTGTTTTCTAACAGGAAGCTCGGACTGAGGACAGCTATTATCTTCTACAACTGGTAAACTACGATATATAAAAATCTCAATTAATATACAATTATATCACAAGATTTTACCAAAATCAACAGCTTAAAAACTTACGATTTTTCAACTTTATACACAACCATTCCCCACGATAAATTAAAGTCCAGGCTTTTTGATACCATTGACAGCTGCTTTTTCAATGAAAATGGAACTCGTAAATATACTTACCTTGTAATAATAATAATAATAATAATAATACTTTATTTAAAGAGGGTAACCCGATTAGTGCAATGCACTAGTCTTCCTCGGGGCCCTCTAAACATATTAATAATAATACAATTACATGTATGAAAACATTGTACACTAATTAAATAATACAACATGATGGAAAAATACAAGTACAATTAAAAGTTTAGGACATGGAATTACGTTACTTAAACAGTGTTGCGGCAAGTTATAATAAATTTTTTCACATTTTTACGAAATGTGTTTACAGTTGGTGAAAAACGTATATACAAAGGTAATTTGTTCCATAAATGAACACCGGAATAATGAAAAGAATTTTTAAATTGATTTGTTCGATATTTCGGTAGACGAAGGTCATAGTTGGTTTCAGATCGTAAAACATAATTATTAGAAGAAATAAATTCAAAAGAGTCTCTTAAATAATCAGGTGCCATACCATGAAGTGTTTTGTACAGTAATACATATTTATGAAAATCAATCAACTCATATATGGTCAGCCATCCAAGTTTTTCAAATAATGGTAGTGAAGGGGCATCATAAGCCACATCTAATATAATCCGGGCTGCCCTTTTTTGCAATTTAAAAACTCTATCTATGCCAGCACCTGGCGCATTACCCCAAATAGTTAGACAACAATTTAAAGAAGGCAGAATGTAGGCATTATAGAATAGTTTTCTTGTGTGTAATGGGAGAATTTTTTTAATTCTGCGTAAGGTATATAATTTATACGTCAAAGATTTACAAACTGAGTCAATATGGTAACTACAGCGCAATGAATGATCAATATATACTCCCAAAAGTTTTTCAGATTCAACATTTTCAATTAATTTGTTTGAAGCTTATAAATTTAATTCAGGAGAATTTATCTTTGATTTTCTATGTTGAGTTCCCATAAGCATACATTTTGTCTTATTGGTATTCAACACCATTTGATTTTTGGAACACCAATTTTCAATCTCACACAAATCAAAGTTAAGGGCATTCTCAATACCTTCTACATTTTTATGATGTGTATGTAAGGTTGCATCATCAGTAAACATATCAATATCTGTTCTATTTACATGTAAAGGGAGATCATTTATATACAATAAAAATAATAGGGGACCTAAGATAGATCCCTGGGGCACTCCTGCTGTGACAGGCAAGAAATCAGAGGAATATGTACCTATTTTTACACACTGAGACCTTGAGGTTAGATAAGAATGAAACCATTTAATAGCCATTTGGTCAAAGTGATATGATTGAAGTTTACTTATAAGGATATCATGATTTACCAAATCAAATACCTTGCTAAAATCAAGGAAAGGTATGCCTACTAGATTTCCTTGGTCCATAGCTTGTAACCAATTATCTGTTAGTTTTGTTAGAGCCGTTTGACATGAATGAAATTCTCGAAATCCAGATTGTGATTTAAATAAAAGATCAAAGCTAGAGGTAAAGTTACGTAATTGATCGGCTATGTGTTTTTCAACTAATTTTGATAATGTTGGAAGAATGGATATGGGTCTGTAGTTCCCTGGACCTGCATGGTCGCCATTTTTGAAAATAGGAGTGACTTTTGCTTGTTTTAAACGGGATGGAAATACACCATTAGTAATGCTAGCATTTATAAGATGTGTAATAGATTTGCATATAACATTTGCCGAAAGTTTTAGTAGGCGAGGTCCAATAAAGTCAATGCCTGCTGACTTGTTCACATCAAGTGTATTCAACATATTAAATACTTCAAACTCACTTATTTGATTGATACTGAAAAAATTTTCTTTCCCTAGTTTAGTTTCTGTAAATTGATTTAATAATTCTGAATCAAAACTTTGTACTGATATATTTGCTAATAACTTACAGGATATTTCTGTAAAGTGTTTGTTAAAAATATCAACAATATCCTGTAAATTTTCAAAATCCAAACCATTTTGTGTAATACGGTTAGGTGTAAAATTTTTGGAATCGGATGCCAAATGGTTTAAATAACTCCACATTTCTTTAGGACTTGAACTTTCTTCAATTGCTGATTTGCAATACTTTGATTTGGCTTGATCTATTAATTGTGTGACTTTATTTTTCCAAAATTTGTAATTTTCTGAATTTCTTTGTAGATGGTATGTATCTCGTAAAAGTCTAGCATCATTTATTTCCTGTGTAAGCCATTTAGGTCGAATTTCAGTCTTGACTCTTTTAGTTTTTACTTTGGCATGTTTGTTAAGAATATCATTAAATAATTCATAAAATTTATTCAATATTTCGTTTGGGTCTTTTAGTTCAAGAAGACTGTAAAAATTTGCATTTTCTAAATCTCTTAGAAGCTTATTTTCATTGAATTTTTTAAAATCTCGATATTGGATTTCAGTATGTTTTCCCTTACGCTGTATGCAGTTAGTTTTCCGTGTCAAACATACAGGGTAGTGGTCAGATATAGCAATAGGGGGCACACTGGTTTCACATATGTTTTCTGGTTTGGTTGTATAAAAATGATCAATTAAGGTACTTGAGGTACTTGTTATTCTAGTTGGAACAGTAATTATCTGTGAAAATCCAAACTCCTGTAAAGCAGATGTCCAGTATTGTGGGGGGTCTTTCATTAAATCAATATTAAAATCACCTGCTAGAATTATTTCAGTATCATCACAGCAGGAGGCACGGTTTACCTCCCTTGCTAGGTCCTCTGCCCAGCAGGAGGGGGCAGATGGTGGACGATAAGCAGAGCAATAAAATATAGGTTTTGAAATTCTTAAATTTATCTCTAGCCAGATTGTCTCAATATTACTGATTTCAAAATCAGTTCTACGTTTATATGAAATATCATTTGAAATGTATATTAAAATTCCACCACCTGCCTTTATTACACGATCTTTTCTTTCAAAAACGAAGCCCTCAATATTCAATTCAGAGTTGCCTATCTGCTCGGTCAAAAATGTTTCACATATACCTAAAATATCTAAAGTTTGTCTATTTTGGAGCAGTAGTTTTATTTCATCAATTTTTGGAATAATATGACAAATATTTAAATTTCCGAATCGTAAACCTTTTTTTACCAACCCAAATCCTTGGTTCTTTTGTGTTGTTTGAATATCATTTTTATCGGTCAAAGGAACTGGGTTTTTTACTTGTGAAACAGATTTGAATGAGCTAGGCATAGGAGATATGACAGTAGTTTGTATAGCTGATCTCTGATTACTTTTAGAATCTGTGTTCAATTGAGTCTTTCGTTTAACATGTGGTTTTCTTGACAATTTAAAATTTGTAGAGTTATTACAGTTATCAGTATGGTCGTCGCATGAACATTGAAAATTGTTACATTCATTACATAAAATACTAAGAATAGAAAATATACTAGATTTTGGTAAAGATTTAGTTTGGTTGTGGACGGCTACACATTCATTGCCTGATACCTAGTACATGTATGGACAGGATTTCGTCTTGTGTCCTAATTCACCGCAGTTCCAGCAGTCAAGCTTTCGTCCGTGTCTGCAGTGGCGTGATGTGTGTCCGTGTTCACTACAGAAGTAGCAAGTCACAGACTGATAAAAGCTTGCATTGGAGTCCGTATTGGTTCGACCGGAATTCACACGCAGAATTGAAACTTCGCTGTTAATCCGTTTAAGCAGCATTGACGTCCCCTTGTCTGAAAGATGAATACCGTCTTTCCAATAATGCATACGGTTTACCTCCTTGAATTCACTTTTGTTGGAAATAAAGACACCTCCATATTCATCACATACATATTTTAGTGTGGTATTCACATGAGATACATCCACATCCCGTCTTGGTAATACTTCGGAAAAATATACTTTGGTTCCCGGAGAACGATGTTTGATGTTGGAGATGATTTCCGCGGCATCATGTTCAATGGCGTCCATGTCTCGATGAGATGAGGCATCATTTCCCCCGGCTTGGATAATGATGTGGGAGTATTCTGCTACATTTATTTTGAGAAGTTTAGCTTTGATGTGGGAAAGTTTAGCCCCTCTATTTGTTCTTACATGAACACCCTTTTGTAGTCCTCTTGTTCTTACCCGTTGTAGGATTGAACTGTCAATTATAAGTTTTGTATTACCAGATTTTTCCTTTTCTTCAATCATGGATCTTGCAGGTGTATGTATTGGGTGGTTGTGTGGTTCAGTGTTTGTACATTTTGTTTTCTTTTCCGGTAAAGAATGTTCGCACTGAGTGTGTCTAGATATGGAATTCGTTGGTGCAGATTTTAAACCATGCACGTCTGTTTCCTTGTTTTTCACAACCTTGATTGATGTCTGAGTGTTTTTGTCAACCAGTATTGGTTTGTAGTGATCGTCTTCTTTTATTTGACATTTTAGTTTTTCTTTTAATTCTTGTAATTCTTTAGCTAAATTACAGATAGCCAGTTGTAGGGATTGAATTGTATTCGCACACTGTGTACAATTTTGTACATCACTTGACTGACTGGTCGACACAAGAGAAGCACTTTTAACTGGAGTTGATGCCATTTGTGGTGACGATTGGCCCAGAACATTACTAATATTGTTAGTATCTTTGCTCTTGATGTCGTGAATGAATTTGTTAAGCCAGGTATTTGCTGACGAACCTTGAATGTGTAAGACGCTAGTCCCAGCATAGACTGTGGCCGTCACAGAATCACAATCAGACTTGAAAATTTTTCCATTTTTCCCTACTTCTTTAATTGGTTTTAGTTCCTCATTTAAATAGCTCAAAATAGTTACATATTTTTCTTGTTGGAAGGACACAGTTATACTGTATTTGTTATATGTCACATTTAGGAAGTGTGGTATACTCACATCAGTAGTAGTGATATTTTCATCTCCATCAAATGATTGTGTAAGTCCAGAAAAGGATTTAAATAAGCTTGAATTAATACTTTGATCCATATATTCATTAGACTCAGCCATATATTTTGGCAAGGAAAACACAACACAATCACTCATAGTAATTCAACATAGGTAACAGGTAAGATTAGAGCTGCCCCCCCCCCCCAAAAAAAAAAACACGTCTTATCAGTTCGGCTGCTTATCAAAGGCTCATTGTCATTGGTCATTTGCAAAATTATTTTGTTGAAAATACATTCTGATTGTACACACAAGTACTCTGAAGTTGATATTAAAAAGATGCTTGAGTTTCTGATTGACAATATCTATGTGGTTTTTGGAGACCAGGTCCTCCAACAATCTATTGGAATTTCTATGGGTACCAATTGCGCCCGTTATTAGCAGACCTTTTTTGTATTCATATGAAGCAGAATTTGTCCAAAATCTTGTACCTGAAAAGAAGAAAACACTTGCTGTGGCCTTCAACTCGACATTTAGATATATCGACGACGTATTGTCAATTAACAATGGCTATTTCCATTCTCATGTCGTTACGATATATCCTGGTGAGCTTGAGATAAAAGATACCACAGAGTCTTACACATCTGTTTCATATTTGGATATTTTACTTGAAAAAGACGTTAATGGTAATCTAACAACCAAGCTTTATGATAAACGTGATGACTTTAACTTTTCAATCGTCAACTTCCCTTACTTATGCAGCAATATACATTCATCACCTGCATACGGGGTATATATCTTTCAGTTGATTCGATACGCAAGAGCATGCTCTACGTATGTACAATTTCTAAAACGAGGTAAATTATTGACAAACAAGTTGATGAAACAAGAATATCAGCTGTTTCATTTTAAGTCATCATTTCGTAAGTTCTATGGTCGATACAATGACCTTGTCAGCAAATACAATTTATCATTGAGTCAAATGCTGACTAACGTTTTTCATACTAATTCTTAGGCCATTATTTACACACTGAATTGTCGACGGATTTTTCCGTTATTTCCCGATCATGACAAAGAGCACACGGCGGGTGTGACCGGTCGGCAGGGGATGATCACTCCTCCATGGCACCTGATCCCTCCTCTGATGTTTGGAGGTCCGTGTTTGCTCTGCTCCTATTTTGTATTGTTTAACGGACTTTTGAGCTTGAATATTGTTTGTTATCTCCATATATTTCATCAACCTATCGTTAATTGAGACAAACTATCATTATGAATTTTTACACTCGCTAATTTAACACACAGATTTAATATCGTTAAACAAAACATTAAATAATGTGCATACTTATTACTAGGACATTTTTTAGAAACATTACATCTTCTTCTTTTCGCAAGGATAATTGAAATAAAACTTTCCTACTTCGTTTTGAGATAGATTTCGAATTAGATAAATATTAAAAATTTTACAGGATAGCAGTTTCAATGGTATTCTTTGGACTGGGCCTAAATACTGCTATGTTCTATGGGAACTTCTACACAAATTTTCTGATATTTGTGCTGTTGGAGTCAATTGGAAGCATGGTTCCCTTATTAACAATCAACAGATTTGGTAGAAAGAGAAGCTATGTATTCTTTGTGACTCTTGGAGGACTGTCGTGCTTTAGTACAATATTTACAGTTAACTTTTTAGGAGAAGGTAAGCTAGTTTTTTTTCGAAATCAGGAATATTAATATTATCTGTTGATGTTTAAAAATTTAAAACGATCTTCTTCACGTTTTTTTCTATAGTTATAAAGCGTCTTTATTGATGTACATGTATTCGGGATTAGGATAAGGTTGTCTGTAAAATATCACAATATACCAGCTGTAGTAACTTCTCTGAACTACCTAGATCTGGTTATAATAGCATATGACGTCAAGTCACTGCAAACTTTAGCTTGCTTGAAAGAAAAGTGTCATAACTTGTACATTTCTTTCATATGACATATAGAATTTGTTTTTTGTTGATGTTAAATTAAGATGATTGGATTGTTGTTTTAAGCTTCAGTGTGCTGTTACGATGGTGGACATTTGAAATATAATATCGAAAAGCTTTCTCCTGTCAGATATACAACGTATATAAACTATAGCTAAAAATACATGTAGAATGTGAAATTTTTCCCGTTGCATGTCCTTATACAGAGTGAGAATATATAGATCGTGTATATATTAGTATAACATAAGGGATTAAAGGGTTTTTATCACGTCTCAAAATTTTTGATATGACAAAGTTTACATGCTATTAAATCATATATTTAAAAAACTTTGCTAGAAAATTAATATTTTTGTTGTTTCAGCGATTCAAAGTTTGAATTTCTCAATATGCATATTTTGATCGCCGATGCTACGCGCCATTGCTCTGACGTCATAGGTGTCAATCCTGGTCAAGCAAAGTACCTATTGTGTATACAAAAGGGCTCACTTGTTGTGTCTATTAAACCTGTTAAAAAATAATCAAGAGATAATTAAATAATTGACAGCTAGTAAGGTATAATTTAAAGCTTTAGGATGCATAAATATGCACAAGAAAGGTTTTAAGAAGAATTTTTTTTTCCACATTTCCTGGACTTGGTCGAGAGATGAAAGGGGGGTCTTTTTCTGCAAATGCGATGGCGTTTATCTCCATTCAGAACAATCGTTTTTGTCCGATCGATCTCGAATTTTTTCTGTCCTGTAAAATGTTTTAATGAAAGATACCTTTAAAAAAATAAATGACAAACACGCATTTTTTAAAAGTCGCACAGAATCTAGCAGGAATGTTGTGAACTTCGTAATGGCGTACGGCGCCATTGAAGAAGTGTCATTTCTAGTACATGATATTCACTGCTGGAACAGATAGAAGATATACAGGATTTATTTATATATAATTAATTAAAATAATAATGAAGGAGAATTTAAAATTCCCATATTTATAAATGTTTACGAAGTTAAACTTTAGTAATTCGTTCTATTTAGTCGAAGTCCCGAGTTGTCAGCGGCTTCGTCTTCGGTGACCTCTCCTATACTGTCGGCATATTTTCTGGTTATTTCTTTCTGCTAGACGTTCATACATAAAAGATTGACCGTCCATAACCAAAGGAATATAGTCGATGTCAAAATTTCAACCGGCCATATTGTGTATTCTATTTATTTAGCGTAAAAATCTATTCAATATATTTTTTTCTTACGATAAGCTTTACGAGTTCTACTGACCATTGACACCTATGACGTTTCAGTACCACGTGACCCCCATCTAATTAGTGGAGGTTGTTACTTCGAGGACCCTATATTACGGGCGTTTTATCGTCTTAATTACGACCGTTTTCAACATTATTTCATATTTAAACGATAATTATATGTTTTAAGAATATAATAGTGTTTCATTTTTAAGAAATTTAGATACGTGTTAAAAACCCTTTATTAAGGATAAATTGAAGATATTCTGCGTGAATCTCTAAGAGATTCGTGTCCTTTAACAGAATCTTACCAGGAGATCGTATGTACGTACAACAGCCTATTTTGTATAAATTGCGATGAAGAGTATAAAAAGGCCCTTATGTCTGTGGATAAGTTGAAGTTCTCCTGAAATATTTACTTTACAAGTAAAATTCAGATTTAACCCCCCCCCCCCCCAAGCGCTTTCTATTTGCAATAGAACACGATTAATTAATTTTTGTAACAAAACGTTCACAAAATTTTGTTTATCTTTTGTGACGAGTCGATTTTTGTGCAACATTGAGGAAAAATTATAAGTGTCCGCCAGTTGATCAACAAAGCCATGTGACATGATAAATATAGGATCTCCCATGATTTGTAGTTGGATATGATTTTTATCCAACGAGTTGTGTGTTTTTTATCCCCGAGCCTTGGCGAGGGGATAAACACACACAACGAGTTGGATAAAAGTCATATCCAACTACAAATCATGGGAGATTCTTTTTATCCCATGTTTAATACTTCACAACCAATGTTTTACACTGTTTTATATAGGACTCCACTTTATTTTACTTCATCGCGCTAACGCAAAAACCATTGTGACGTCACAACTGTGGATTATGAAAAATTTATCCAATGAGTCATATCCACGGAATAAAGGGGTAAACATGGGATAAATATGCTTTATTATAATACCTGATCAAACTCTCTTATTGGCTGTACAAATTTACATATTGAAACTTTGAACAAATTACAAATTGAACTTAAAACCTAGCACGAAATGAAAGATTGTTTCTAATGCATGTTAAGCCTTGGGACAGCCTTAACAAAGCTGCGTTATTAATCTTATATGCATAGATTTTTTTTCAAATTAAGGGATTTTTTTAATTTAGGAGATACAGAATATTCTCTCCAGTTGAAAATGAATAAACATTGCATGAGATATGCCTTTTACGAAAAGTGAAACAATCATCCTACAAGACATTTAGAGATACCTATAAATAGAGTTTTTGCCTCAAACTAGGTTTTGGAGACAAAGTTTACAAGTTAGATTAACTGATCTTGTGTTTAATATACTAATTGGTTTTGAAAAAAAAGGAATCATTTGAAAGATGTCAATAGATTTTTAAAAATATTTTCCATTTCCTTTAACATGTACTTGAAATGAAACACAAAATGAGACTATATACGTATTTTTAAGTAACTGACTTTATTGAGTTTTAAGAGATTTAGTAAGTAACGTTTGAATTCTGTACCTCGTGTATGTTCTGAGTTTGTAATTATAGATTATTACTACCATTTCCCAAGAAGCATTAAAATATTCTGTACAAATAGAAGAAGTTGAGATTAAAATCATCGAACAGTATCATTATTTCCGGTATTCACGTCATTTTTTTTTTTTTTTTTTTTGTTTCAATTTTTGAAACAATTACAGACCTACAGATACTAACCACTGTTCTTGCTATGATGGGCATGCTGTTTACGACGGCTGGATATGCCACGCTCTTCATTTTCTCAGCGGAGATATTTCCTACTGTTGTCCGTAACGTTGGGATGGGAACCAGTTCTAGCTGGGGCCGTGTTGGAGCAATGATTTCTCCTTTCATAGCAGAAACGGTTTGCATATTATTGAATAGGTACTTCTTAAAAAGCCTTGAAGATACTTAAGAAATGAATTATTTATATTCAGAACATAAAATTTAGTATAAAACTCGATTTTGTAAGTAAAAGGTGTATGAAAATATGGCATCACAATTTTTAACGAGAATATAAAAGTACATAAACCAAAAAATGTTCAAAATAGTGTCCTCTTACTTCAAACTTAACATTCAAAATACAAAATTATACTGTGACGTCAGATATACGAGTAGATTGTATTGTATTGATCGGATTGTCCAGTAAAATCGTAGACACGTCTATAGAAAGAAAGGTAATCAACACTGCTTTCTAAAATTTGCCCTACTCCTTAGTACATTTTTCCCTACTCCTTAGTACATTTTTTCATCAATATACATAGCAAATTTAAATAAATATATGCTCAAATAAACAAAATATGGTATTTTATATTATGTGTGGCATCGTCTTACAGCGCACGTATGATAACGTCAAAGTGTCTACAGCAACGTCACGTTTCATCTTTGTCTAAACAAGTTGGAGAAGCCCCATTTGAATACCGGGAATTTCACCAATGCACACACCCGAGTTCCCCTTTATTCCTCCACAAACAGACGATGGACCAATCTCACATAAATGGAACCTTTTGAAGACTTGTTTTATTAAGTTATAGAAGGTTTTTGTTTGTTTGTATGTTGTTGAACGTCCCTCTCGAGAATTTTTTCACTCATATGGAGACGCCACCACTTGCCGGTGGAGAGCTGCAAATTTTGTCCTATACTCGGCACTTACGGCCATTGAGCAGTGAGGGATCTTTTTCGTGCCAGCACCTACTGCAACACGGGACCTCGGCTTATACGGTCTCATCCGAAGGACCGGTCTCCACGTCCCACAGTGGGATTCGAACCCTATAGAAGGTAGTATCACTTTCATTGAACTAAATAGACAGTCTTTTTCGATGGTCTGAAGGGGTAGCATCTTTCATTATTGCCAGTAGCTGATTGAATGTATGTTTTGTTCTACCCAAGGACTCAATCATAAACTACCGTCACGGTAGCTCACACGGTAGTTGGTAGAGCGCTCGCTCCGTGATCGGAAGGTCTTGTGTCCTTCACAAAAAAAAAATCACGGCCACAGCTGACCTAAGTCGATTAAAAAAAGGTAGCAACTATTCCCTTGCCAAGCGCTTGGCACTTTGAAGTGAAAGTTGCGAATCTTTCGGATGAGACCTTAAAAAATCCGTAGCCTCGTGTCATGGTAGGCGTTGGCACGATAAAGAACCCTCACTGCTCAATGGCCCTGAGTGCCGAGTAAAGGTCTAAATTTGAAGTCCTTCACCGGTATATAGTGATGTCTTTATATGAGTGAAAAATTCTCGAACGGGACGTAAAACAACGTACAATCAATCAATCATAAACTTCCTGTTAAAAAATGCCCATTCCAGTATAAGTGATATTTTTGTTATATTTTGTTATCTTATGTTATCATTTACAGCCTCTTAAGGCGTTATTACTTATCTACATATGGTTGATCTGCTCTACGGTGCGCCGTAACGTCATCAAACGTCGCCATTTTTTGTGTGTTGCGTAAGGCACTGTGATTTTAAAAATTCTCGGGAAACTGCCAAAAAAGCAAATGCCTTGAAATTATCCGAATGACGACATATCAGATAGTGAATTAAAAACATGATAAATTTTACCCCAACCTTGTCTATTTAATACTTTATTTCCAAATAATATTCGCATAATCCTCGACAAAAACCAATTTTTCGGTCGTGCGCTGTAGTACCATACCCTTTGCACATTCCAGTATTAATAACAGAATCTTAATTTTTGCTTATAATTTATCAAAAATATTAAAGTTTACTTAAGGATGATTTTAAAAAAAAATCATTTGCTGAAAATTCAGCTTAGTTCATTGATTTTCGATAAAAACGCGATGTCCACGATTTCATGAAAAATTAAGAAAGGTTAATGCGCATCTGCAAACACTAAATGATGATTTGTAACGCAATGCAGCGCCATATGGTTGATGGTTTCACTGGAGTCGCTATACCTTTGGTCATCTTTGGTGGGGTTTGTCTTATTGGTGCCGGTCTGAGCTTATTTATCCCGGACACTCTAAACAAAAAGTTACCGGAAACCATTGAGGATGGGAAGAACTTCACTAAGTAGGGTTACAATATTTTTACTCTTCCAAATCACATTTAGAGACAATTTCAAGATCTGGACTTGTATTAAGTTTCTGAATCTTTTATTTTGTAGGAAAACTTATCCGGAGAAGACAAATAGAAAAAAAGAAAATGAGGAAAATACTACAACTTATTTTTAACACATAAAAATAAGACTTTTTTCACATTTACATGTAGCTGAAGATTTTGCTTGTAAAAATTTAATATTGCAGTGCTAATAGGGCAACTGTTCATTATTTCAACAGGAAAATACATTTCTTTCTTCTCCATTTCTCGAGCAAAGAGAAAATCGAATTACTTTTACATGTCTAATAAAAGCGTGTTTGTAAACTTCTTTTATCTTTTTTTTTAAACTACCAATTTCGTAAGGCGTTTAATTGACACATATCCTTGCACTTTGAAAAAGTAAAATTTATCCATAATACTTTAAAAAAGTAGAGTATTAATGAAAAGTATTAAAACTATAATCCAGAAAATTCAGAGTAGAAATATGAGAAAGCAAAACCAACTCACCAGTATTGTCAATCCATGCTCAGTGATATATGCAGAGTAACCATATTGAACACATCCGTTAAATCTTAAACATTAACAATACCTTTTAAGGGGTGGGGTTTGGGATATGAGGTTTTATATACGCGTTAATCCGGACCCTGCCCCTTCCGGATGATGTTTTTTGGGAACTGATTTTTTTCCACGATATTCTGTCTCATTTATCCGGAAATTCGCGTTCCGCATCCAGACGGTCGATTTCTAATACAAAACGTAATAATACATTAAAAAATGACTCGTTTATCAGCACAAGATTCTTAGGAGAGTATTGTGTAATGGAAATTACATGTATCAAAATAATATTCATTGAAGTTGTGAATAAGTTGATGATGGGTATAAATAAAATATGATGTGTTTATTTAGTAATTAGAAAGCATGTCGAACGTTCATCTATTACAGAACAAATCATATTTTAGAATCCCTCTCTCTCTCTCTCTTTCTCTCTCTCTCTCTCTCTCTCTGGATCCTTTTTAATGATTGGGAAATTATGAAAAAAGCAATATAAGAAAATGTGTACAAAAATATACAAAAACATGAAACTGATGTTTCAGCATCAAAGGTAATTATTCAATCTGTCTAAGCTCTTAACTTCGATTTGGCGGTTTAGATTTGGACAATGTCATCTTTTTGGTGTCATCCGTACATTTAAAGGTCTTTAGAGAAACGTTCCTCATTCGTGCTGATTAAACTGATTTAGATTTTAGAAAATAATAGAAGGCTATTAATTACTTTTTCTTTATCATCAATCAGAAGGACAACAATATCCGTAAAATTAATATAAAAAGACTTGCCAAAATATGTAGCTGAAAGTCAATAAATTCTCAAAAATCCAGATCAGAGGGGACAATATGGACTTCATGCGACTGTAATAAGAATTCACATAATTTAGTAAGAATGGTACGTTGCTTTCAGGGCATTAATAAGTAACCTTAAATTATATTTCATATATACTTTTGTTACAACCCCCGCTTGAAAAGCGGGAGGAGTATAGTGATGGGGATGTCCGTCCGTCCGTGTGTCTGTCTGTACGTTCGTTTGTCCGTCCGTTACGCTTTGGACTACACGTTGTTTTCTACAACTCCTCCTATATCACATTATAAAATGTTACTTTGATAAAATCTTTATTAAATGGCGCCATTGTGCGCCTCCTATTTTACTTTTTGATCGGACAGACATTTCGGGTTTCCAACAGCACAACATAAAACACAGCCATTCTTTCTATAAATTTGAGGGTACCCATCTCTTACCCTCAAACTCCTTCTATACCACTGAACAAAATTCAATGATACTTTGACAGAATCTTTATTACATAGTGCCATTGACCACCTCCTATTTGATTTTTTGATCGGACACTTTCGGGTGCCCCATAGCAAAATATGGACTTTTCAATCATAAACATATGGGAGGCGGGGGTATTATTTTGTGAGCTTAGTGCTCACAGTATCTTTACTTACATGTTGTTCCTGTAATACAAAAAAAAAATGAAAAATGCAAAGAAATCTTTTATTCAAAATTCATTTAAAGCTTCATATCGACGAAAATATTTTTAACACACACAATGTATTATACCTAATGCATCTCGCTTCAATCTATTTCTTAAATTATTTTTTTTTTAATTACACGGTTTTCATAGCACACACCATTGCTTATATAGAATATGTAAACATTACTACAACTATTAGTTTTGTTAAATGACAAATCTATACTGGATTAATGACTTATATTCAGATTATGACATATACTGAAGGATTAAACAAGAAATATACAGGTATAAACAAGATTGTACCTGGAGTCTGCCTCACCTTGCCCTTTGTCTTATGTCAACAAGTACAGAATCTGTATACCTTAAAAAATATCAGGTCATCATCCTACAGTCTTAATAACCTGATAATCTATCCATGTGTTGATTAGGTTGAAAATACCGACCTCGTGAGGGAGACCGTATTTGTGTAAACTAAAAACTCTTAAGAGTTAACAACTGAAGATTAATATTAGTTGTCATTATAAAACCCTATCGTAAATGTGTTCATGTGCTGTGCACATAAAGCATTGAAGCATATATTGTGCACTATCAATACTTAGTATCGTTATAACATCGCAGCTATCTAACTAACTGCCGTTCTGTTGCAGAAATGTTCAGGAAGCTCAAAATATCGCAAGATTTCCGAGGCATAACACTGCTTTCGCTAGTGACAATCAAATGATTCAACGATCAGTATGACGAAAGTACAATAGAAAGTTGTATAATTAAGAATGTTTAGAGAATTTTATCTGCTTCTAAGATAATCCGAAGAAAATGGTTTACTTTAATTACAAGAGTCTGCTAAGTGAAAAGTATCAATAAAAATGTAACACATGAGGACTAGCTCCTTTTAAATCTTATTAGCATATCTTTTTCAATAACATTATATACAACGTCATTGAAATAAATTTAAGTGTTAAAATTCATACCATCACGTGATTTTACTCTGTAAAAGAACAGCAGAAAATATTCCCATATCTTTCTTATTGGAAATCGTAAGTAACGAAACGTAAATATATTATATTATGGGGATATAACATATAACAAAATTTTTACAAAACAGAAATAAAAGCCGTTTTGTGAAGATATCAAGCAAGAAAAAAGAAAATGAAGCTTTATGGTCTATATTTCTCTTTCATACACAAATTTACCAATGACTACAAACCTGTAGATTACACATCAAATATTTGATTTTTTTCATGTTGAAGAATGAATTTGTTTTTATAAGTTAAGAGTTTTCTCTTCTAGAAAATCACTTTCCCTTTTCATTTAGCAAAATAAATAAATAGGATACTGTAATGCAACATTGAGTGTTTAGTTTCTTTTCTGCAGAAGGTAACTTGCATTTTAAAAAAAAGTAATAATTTTGGTCGTGGTTCGTGGTACATAGAGAGAGAGAGAGAGACAGGCAGACAGACCGAGGGAAAGAGAGAGAGAGATTCTATTGTGCATGTACGTATAATCTGTCGACTACTCCAAACGTCTCTGGAGATAATGTCTCTTGAAGGAAGATCCGTCAATAAAATAATGAATGAGGTGTATTTAAACACTTCTCTGAAGTCATGTTACTGTTAAGTATTATGAAAATAAACTTTAAGGAAAAGATCTCGTACAAGCATGAAATTTTAGTTGACATAGATAATTTAATTTTCATTAATGTGTAATCAGATGTCGATTTAGTTTAAATATCTTCTCCACAGCAAATCGGAAGCGTTTCTTTATCTCCAAGATGCCATTCTAAGGCATACATCTACATGTGTAGATAGTTTGTATATTATCTGGATAGTGTTTATACACAGCAAACTCGGTCAAAAGGTCTTACCTCTGAAACAATGAAGTTTGATGATATTTTTAAAGAAATAGGAGAATTTGGCCCGTATCAGAGACGAAACTACATATTGTTAGTGATAGGATGGATGCTTACAGGTCCTATAATGACTTTATCTGTGTTTGTCTTGGGGCTTCCAGATCACAGGTATGATATTACATTAAAATGATTAATATTATTCCTTTGATAAATCATTGACATGGACTATACATAACATGAATTTTTTTCAAGCATACGAACTCTTTGTTCCCTCATTATCTTGGGTTGCAGTTACTTTTTATAGTTCGCTTATTGATCAAAACATTTTGACATGTTTGATGGCTTCAGCAGATGACATCATTAATAATATTTGCTGTCAGAATGATTTATATATTATTATTTGTATATGTGTGTGTGCTTCAAACTGTACTGATTTCGATTGGAGAGAGAGAGAAATAATCTTTCTCTTGGTCCATCAATTAACCTAATTCGTCTTTGTGACATAGATATAGACCCTCCTATTTGATAATGATTTATGTGTCATTAAAAATTATACCATTCCAAGGAGAAAATCTTTGTATACAAGCATGTAGATTTTTTTGTTTCAATGCTTGTGATGCGTCTGGTGAGAGGAGTGTGCTTATTGTAAGTGCTTTATTGCTTTCACTTTGTTTTGTGATTTCCAAAGTGTGTGCGTCTATGTGCTTCATCTTTCTTGATAAAGCATTTAGCCTTTATTTCTAGCTTGTTGCAATATGAAAAGGAAAACCCAAAAGCATCGGTCTTCCCCTTTTATTATATAGTCTTTCAAAAACAAATTAAATGTTGAACCTTCCCTTTGCAACACAAAAGAAACATGGACAATACAGGCTCCAAGGCTAAGTTGCAGCGGCAAAAGATTAATGGGGCTCGTTTTCCTTGGCCGGCAGTTCTCTCTCACAAATTCCAGGAATGTTAAAACAAGTCCACATCTCTCTTACTAACTGTACAGTTCTAAATTCCTCTGGCATGCAAACATTCTAAAATCTAATGACAGTATGCTGTTTTGGGGTCAAAGGGTTCCCATGCTGCTAAGCTTCTCGTTGCGTTTAGTCAAATAGCGTCACTTTGGTGCCTACAGCAGTTCTTCCATTTTCGCAACCAATAAATGTTCACAACGTAGCGTGTTAACCCTACGCTGTACACCAGCGAGATTTATGTTTTGCTACTTATGATAAAATCACTAAAAAGGGTATTTTCTTCGCCTAGCAAATGGAGAGAAA